TCGCAGTTGTCGTGCCACTATTTGAGGGCAAAATTTTTGCACCTCGCGCTCCTGGTTGCAACGGAAACAACGCACGAATTGGACTGTGCACCTTCAACAAATTGATTATTTAGTATTTTTTATTGAAATTATCCAATTATTTCATTCGGCGAAATTTTCGCGCATTAACGCGATTGTCATTTTGGGCCTGTTCCGGTTACATCGGGCAGTAACACACTTAAATTCGACAGTTGCAAAAATGTTTTAAATGACAAATTACGAAGAATCCTCTTCCATCCGCATTTGTTTGCTGGCATTCCCACTCGAAACTTTCTTTGCATTCCCATTTTGAGACTAACTTTCACCATCATCTAATCTTTCAGTCACAGAAATCTATTAAAATAGCTTATGTTTTTGCATGTGGTTTTTTTGAAAAGCAAATAATGAACAGATTTAGGTCAAGAACGTTTTGCTACTTTACTAAATCACTGATTCATCTGACTTCAAAGGTGAAGCCAACGAAGGATAGGAAAGTTGCCGATGTTGTAAATAGTTTTTCTTGAAAGGCCATATGAAGCATTAAGATGGAGGCACAGAAATTACAGGCCTTATATTTGGTAGGCGTAAGAGGATAAAATAAGTAACAATCTTTTTTCCTTTTCACAACTTTTTGAGACTGAGGTGCTTTAAACTGTAAGAGGTCTTAATGATTAACTGCGCTTTGCATCCTTCGGATGTGCTTATTTTCATGAATTAAAGAAGTATGTGATCGCCACTGTTCAGGCCTGAAAGGATTCGCGAAACATGCTTACTTGTCTAGTTTTTCGATGAGAGCTTTAGCACCTCTGCTGTATCGCTGGGCTATATATAAAGTTTCGTCCTGTTGTTGCGCAAATTTGCTACCACTTGCAGTGAAGCTACGAAACATCTGTGCGACGGACTGCAAATAAGCAAATGCTCCTCTGACCAGTCATGGAACTTTACGTTGCCTTACGAGTTCAGCAAGCTAGACATTAAGTGGCGATACTACAACGATACGACAAAATTTTTTGGCCCCTACTGATGGCCCTTACCTAACCAACATAGCCAGTGGTCATCTCGTGCTAATGAGTGATACCAGTGAGAAAGTAAATGGCCATTCTTGCGGCCTCTGAAGAGTCCCTCACATTCCTAGAGCAAGTGGTGGTATGAAGTGTGCAACCCAGGATCGAAGGACTTGGCATAGCTGCGCCTGGCCTGTGGAACACCTCAGTAGCATCACTGACGTGGGATACCTATCCAAGTGTTCCTGGTTTTCATGATTCCTTCCCCTCTATAAACAAAATACGGTCACATACAAAAGAGGGAAGAGCGGAAAGGAAGGAAAACCTCTTTGCTCCGAAAGCGATACCAAAGCCGAAAGCAAAAAAATACGAAAAACCAGCTGACCATCCCTGCGCATTTCGGCGCCGAAGAAGCTTGATGGGGAGCATAGAATAACTTTTAACGTAAAAGTCGCATAAAACTATAGCTACGAACTGTGGGTCAACCTGTGAACTAGCAGTGCCGCAGCAGTAGCTTTTTTTTTGGCAAGTTTATGCAAAGCTGTACTGTGTGTTGTGTCAGTGGTCGACATGAGTGCGTGAACTGACGATTTAATCCTACGTGAGCCTCCAAATATGAGTGTCGCTGAGTAAAAACCGCATGTTTCAAAAAAAACCAAGTTCCACACCGTATTTTGGCTTTCAGCAAGCAATTTCACTGCTTCCCAGCTGATCTGCCAACGATTTTTCTGGATGAAGCTGGAGCAGTCGTACCACACTTGGCCAGCATAATGGCGAACCGCAAATTCTTGCCTCTCCGAGTGCGTTTTGCCGATAGACGAAGCTGCTCCAGTTTTGGTGGCAAATAATTGCTGAGGAGACTGTTGATGGTTCAGGATGCACTGCTGCAGGTAACGCGTTGCCGATGCCTAAACGCGTAATCAGAACTAAAGCACCACAGAAAATGTTGGAAATTTTTGGAAGTTGCGAGCGCCAAGTAGATGTGCTGGAACATAAAATCTACTTACGGGAAGTGCAGAAGTTTCAGACTCATGCTTCCTCCCAATCCAACTTTTTTCGCCACAAAATTTCAGGCAACAGAGTAAACATAAGTTGTTTCGGATGATTCTTGTTGTGTCCGCAAGTTTTCATCCTTTTAGCCTCAGTAGTTATTGACTGAATCACATGTACAAATATGATCTTGCTGCCTCAATTCTTACATAGATAAAACCTACAAAAGCATTTAAAAAGAAATCTAAACCTTCGGAAATTTGGATTCGTCGTCCAGCGAAGGCAACAACCCATGCGGCCGCTGTACCAGCATCATCACCACCGGCTCGTTGTCGAACCATTGAACCGACTGCAAAGTTTTGTTGGCACGAGCCGGATTACAAAGATTCTACGTTGTTTCCAAGCACATATTCTTTGAAAAAATATGCAGGTAAAAAT